TTCTCAGCCCCTAAATCCAACCTACCAATACACAAGCCCACCAGCTTCCTCGCCTGCTCCCCATTGCACAGCCTACACCCTCAAATCTGGCCCCCCCCGGCCTCTGGGTGAGTAGCGCACTGGGGGCCCGCACCCGCCGGAGCCCCCGGCCCGCCCGGCCCCTGCCGGCTTGTCCTTGCTCTGTGCGCGGCGCAGCTGCTTCCCATGCCTCCTGCAGGCAGCGGGCTGGAAGGGTGGCCCCGAGCCCATGAAACGCCCCCGAGCCCGCACGCCACAGCCCCGGGCCCTGCTCCTTCGCCGATGCCCAGCAGCCGGGAGAGCCTGGCAGCAAGGTCCCCAGCCTGGTAGCCTCCGCTGTGTCACTGCCCTGGCTTGAAACTGCCTCAGCCGCCGGCTGCCCTGGGCTCCTCCTCATCCTGCTTGCTTTCTCTTTCTCTTCAGCTGGGGAAAGAGGGCCGGTGGCCTCCTGGCACTGCGGGTCAGGGCAGCTTCGCAGGCGCTGTTGGCAGTGACAGACCCTGAGGTAGGACCCTGGGTTCCTCCTGTGGTATGGGATCCCAGAGCCTTGCTTGCTGCTTTCATTTTCCCACTGCTTTTATGGACACTTTGGGGAGAGGGGCACTGACAGCTGTGATGTTGAGCACTGTGAATCCATTTCAGCATTTACCCCTTGTGTGCAAGTGATCTTCGCTCCCTCAGATCACCCTGGCGGCTGTACTGCCAACGCTCATCTCCATGCAGCTGCTGTTATGCTATCTTAGTACCCAAGTCTGATGCTTGGAATTACCTCAGGCTGCAATTGCCCTTTGACTGCAGTGTAGATGCACCCACTCTGGTTGTTGCCACGCTGGAAACCTCCGCACAATTCATCCTTCACCTGACCTTGTGTTCGTATACCTTAATCATAACTGCTCTTCTCTATTAGAGTTCCTTTCTGAAGAAGGAGGATGGGAGTAGGGAATATGCACAATAGTTCTTGGCTTCAGCAAGCCAACGCCACATTACTTCCCACATCTACTTCCTTGCCCTCTTTTCTTTCCAAATCAGCATGGCTAGCAGTGGTAGTGCCAATTTCCATTTGCATTTTTCCTTTGTCATGGCATGTCTGCTTTTCATTTACTGTAAAAGAACTACCCATTTAACTTTAATTTGTTGCTTTCAGTTTGAGATCCTAGAATGGTAATTTGCTCTTTATTCTTAAAGTAATATGTTGCATGTCTTTATGAAGTTAGAGTATTAGCCCTCTTTTTATTAAGGGGGAAATGCTGGCACAGATAGGTGAAGCTACAGTCTCACAGCAAGTCAATTATAAAATCAGCACCTCTGTCTCCTAACATCAATCCCAATTCTGAATGCTGCCTTGTTCAAGTGGGCTTCCATTTACCTCCCCCTTCCCCCCAGCATTACCTCTAGCAGTGCTAGAGCCTGACCCTCAGACACAGTTTATTGAATCTGATCTTTAGTTTTCTGATACCAAGCACCATTGTCATTCTGTACGTCCTTTCCTCTCCCATGTAGATCAACTTTAGTTGAAGTGTCCTAAGGATTATGTAGTTGAAATCCCATTGTTCTCCCTTTTGCTGCTCCAAATGGTGTTTGCTGTCTTGTAAAATCAAAGTTGATGAATTCACCAGCAGTTTAATCTCCAGATTCTGAGAACCATATGAGACTAGGAAACCTACTGAAGTATTGCATGTGTTAATGCTTGCCAAGTAGAGTCAAACTTACATTATAAAATAGATGTTTAGATTATAAATATTTTATACAGAAATTCTTGTAATGCTTTTCTTGTTTGTTTGTTTGTTTGTTTTACAGCTGGAAAGCAGTTGTCATGCTGTCTTGTGTACGCAAACAATCCCAAACATTAGGGAGCCTGTTCTGTAAAGTAGAAAGTGCTGCAATATAGTGGTATTTGATTGCAAAACAATAGCTGCACAGATATTTCAGAATGAGCAAAAGAACAAGGAGTGATTCGCCTCTAGGGAGGTTAGTGAAGCCTTAGAACTGAGATTGGCCATACGTTACTAGTGGCCACTTAATAAATCTGTTGCCAGAGGCTACTCTGGGTACATAAATTCTTGCTAAAATTAAATCTCTTCATTTAATGTGGCGCCTCTTAATCCAGTGAACCTTAAAGTGTTTCACTAAGGGCTGGCCTATTTAAAACTGTAAATGTTCTTTGAGCCCTGGAAACATCAGGCTTTGTGTACTTTGCCCATGCGACAGGCTACCATGGCCTAATAGGGAAGGTGAGTCTTGTGCGAGACCAAAAGAAAAATGTAAAAAAGAAGATAAAATTCAAACTCTTAGAAGTAGTAGACGTGTGGGAGCAACACTAAACACACATACTACACACATGCCTCTTGTTCCAATTACTTGGGTCCTCTTTGCTCCCTTCATAGGAATTGTTTAACCCGTGCGGATTAATGTATACAGCCTTATTTAATGGACAGTTCTAGGCATGAGTGTGGGAAGAATGTTTTTTTAACTTGCATGGAACTTGAAGCTTTCAGGCTAGGAGAATTCCTTCCGCTACTCTACCAGAGGTGTCATGAGCTCAGGAAGCCAGAACACAGGCCTGAGGATACTGCTATGGGTTTTTGAGTAGATTGCATGGTAACATGCCCAAGACGCGTTTCCCCTTCCTTAATCTGATCTCCAGTGCAGTCAAACTGTCTTGTAGTTTTGGTGACTTACTAATCTGCTACTACTTTGGGATAAGATTGAGATGTGGAAAACACAATTTCTATGTGGTCTCACTGAATATTTCAGTAATTTCATTTAACTGTAGAGGCCAACGTTTGGCTAATAAATTTACATGAAGTAACAAATATGACTTAACTAAAGAGGCCCAAATACTTTACATGTCTTAAAAAAGCCTGCTTGAGACAGACCATCTCATTGGGTTTGCTTTCAGCATCTAACAGCTTTATAGAAATGCTCAAAAACCTTTTTTTCGCCTTGACATTAATTTAAGAATGTTTAGTAAATAGGTGACCTCATTTGATCCATTTGGAACTGGACTGTTTATATTGTAATATTCTCTGTTACAATTGTAATTGTATAGAGGTCAGACACTAGGGACCGAAAGACTGAATTTCCCTTACACTTTTAGAAGGGGTCTCCACTCCAATACAAAAGCAACTCTGGAGTGGCAGTGTGGGAGAAACCTAAGATCAGTCTTCCCTTAAAAGTTTTGGTGGTAGTGATTTGTCAGTTAGAAGTTTTTAAAGAAAACAAAACAAGTCTCCCTTAAGTAGCATTACTATGCTGCAAAAAAACCTAATGTAGATGCAGTTATATTAATATTTTTCTGGGGTAGATTTTTTTTCATACAGGGAACTGACGAGCTGTACTGGTGGAAGAACTCTTCCTAGTACAAGCTTTGTCTCCCCTCATACTGGACATATAAGTATTGATAAGTGCTGATAGTGCCTTTGTCCGTTTTGCACTTGCCCTGCAGTTGTAGATTTCCACCTGGAAGCACAGAGAATATTTTTTTCAGTCTGTATGGATTACAAAATACACAGTAGTGAAAAGTTCTGTATATTTACCAGGCCACTTGGTTATTTCAGGCTTGAAGTCCTGAGTTACTCAAGTGAAATTGTTTTAGGAATAGGTTAGATTTCTGAAACT